CTGCTCACACGGCAGCCTCTCAGGGATTATGTCACATGTTGAGCTAAGACAGAGCCATAAAAGATGGGGGAAAAAAACACTCATTCAAGCCTGTAAAAGGTGTCCTGTATGTACAGTATGTAAGGTTCAAACAGATTTACAGCTCTCCTTGTCCATTTAAGGAGGTAGTGGTTGGGGTTATAAGGTAGATGGATTTCTCTCTAGGACAACATGTCCTGCACTTTTCACAAACTATTTTCCAATTGATCATTTTCCAATCGTACTAAAACAACTGTTTTAATGTGACAAGCATCCACCTCATGTAGTTGTACTTTTCTCTTCACTGTATGTCACACAGTGATTGAGATAACATTTCTTTCACTCTAACCTGGCCTTAAGTGGTGCTCCTCTTGGCCAGAGGCACAACTGTCAGATAGTACAGTGTTTAAGAGTCATAATATTACAGGCCATTTTCTGTTTAAAATGACTGTGATCTGAGAGCTGTTAGAGCTGTAAGAGACACACTAAAGTGTTCTCTTTCAGTGTAGCAACTGTCTAATAATCCATATCAAGCACAGAACCAGCAATTTCACTGATTCACCCTGTCATATCTGACAATGCTACAGGAAATACAAGCCCTGTTGGAGATATTTGAGTCTGAAGTGAAAGAGTAATTGATCCTGTAATTTCTGGACATTTAATGCAGCAGATAGCTCTGTATATGGCTGTAATTATAGCTCTAAATTGTGGGGAGCAAGGTGAGAATTATTGATATTATCATTTCCAGTGTATGGTGGGGATATTTAGTGATGCTCAGACTTTCATCTGAAGTTCTAATGTTAGTTTGGGTGGGTCTAAAGTGGAATAATTATGTATTTCTCTTTGACTATTTGAAGTCTTTGGAGTGCCTCATTATTTGTTTCCAACTTTGCTTTGTTATTTTGCTGGAGTTGACTCACTTCCACCTACCTAATGCTAGGGAACTGTGAAAGCCCACTGGTGACACATTTGTGGATTCATAATGAAGAGGCAGATGGCCTCTGCTGATGACCGTGATGTTTGTAAGATCTCATGCTCAGCCTTTTTATATTCTCTTAGAGGAGTTTGTGGCAACTTAAAAAACCTTAAACTACAGACCAGATAATTTCTAGCCTGAACCTCAACACACAAAAGTTAACCCTGTGATGTACAATGGCACTGAGACCTGTGTTGAAAGTCTCTGGTGGATTTTAATGCTTCATACTTTTCAGATTTTTCTTAATATAATCATTTGTACACACTAGAGTTCACACCCTGCTTTGAATAGTTCTGAAAGATGGGACAGTATAGATGCCTACCCAGGATGCATGAATAGCCAATTGCATGCAAGTTAAAGACAAAGTGGATTTTGTTTTCCAATTTTATTTTATTTTTGTGGGTTAAGGGCAAAATGTAATCTTCGACTTGTGTGTGCAAAGATATGCCATTGAAAAAAACAGATAACACAATACAAAGGAAGAGTAACACACTGATTGTGTTGTGTTAAGTTACTGTTGAAATTATTCTGTTTTCTGAGGTGGTTGTCATAGGACTGGGATCTATTCCTGGGTCTGTTAACAACCACCTCTGCATTTTTACTACATTAAATAAAAACTGGGATCAAAGTTTGCATAAGAAGAAATTGGGGCAAAAACTGTCACAATATGAGACCTCTCCAAAAGTCTATGTTTTAATTCCAATATTTTATATAAACCCCATGATATCCATGTCTGTGAGGCTATCCGTGGATAAGCTAACTCATAACTGTTGAGAAATAACTCCAGTTCTCACCTGCTCATAAAAAAAGCCCAGCGTATTGTCTGTATCGTTTCTCACGTTCTGTGCAGCTCTGCTGTTTATGCAGTCTACAGACATTACTGCACTCTGAGAGTTGGAGCCAAATGTGGAAGGACACAACGCCCAAGGGTGATTTGTTTAACTTCGGAAGGTTCTTTGGTTTTTGTTAGATTTGCAGCAGCAGCGGATCATCTAGCACATTCTCCCAAGTGAGTAGCAGCCAACAGAGTCTCAGTGCTACGCGTGGGTAGAGGAGAAAAAGATAACCCCACCAGGGACCCAACGACAGTCCTCATTTCGACAGCGCAAGGCAGGCCGGGCGTTTAACAACATAGAAACAAGAGACTGCATTAGATAATCTTTTTTTCTCCGAGTCCTCCCCGACTCTCCCGGGAGTGTAATGTTGTTCCCTAACCAGCTGAGAATGAGTTAGATGTATCTCATGAATCATATTATGGTGCATTTAATCCTCCAAAGTGAGGGTCTCTGGAGGGTGAGGTTGCAGATGAGGAAGCACAAACTAAAGAGGGGGATGACAGGAGAAACAGATGGGGAGAAAAGCTGCACACAAACAGGTAGAAGACAAGATAAGTCCACATCGCTGGGGTGCTGTCCTTCCAGCTGTCAGTCTGCACAGCTGGATGCTGCCTTTTCTATACAAGGTTGTGTGTAGAAAGAGTGAAGATAGGGTTGCTACCTTCCTTTTCTCATCCATCCTTCCTAATCCAGCCTAAGCACTTAACCAAAGAGGTGCAGTGCAGATCACCTGGGTCTGCGGGGATCAAAGCCGCTTCAGCGAAAATAAGAGAGTCGTGAGGAGGGAAAAGCTGATGTAACAAGAAGAGGTAGATTAGCATTAAAGACTTGACAGTTTCAAAAAAGAGGAAAGTTTCCTTGGCCTTGGCAGTAATCTTTGTCGTAAATCACAGTGCTCTGTTAATGTCAGGTGTACCAGCTTAAGTACCCATCAAAACCTGTGCCGTTTCACCGAATGAAAAGAGCGGTTATTGCATTTACCACTCTGAAAAGAAAGCATGGATGCAGCTGAAAGGATCCGGACTAAAAGTAAAAGAAAAGATGAGAGAGGTAGTATTTTCACTGGCTGTATGAAAAATGGAGGCTTCTATCCATAATCTGTTTTCTGCTCGCACTGAGCCACAGCTCCCCAAGTCATATTTCAAACCACACACTGTAATGTATTTTGACAAGTAAATTGCTTGCCTCTTTGCTGATAGCCACTTACTTAAATAATGAATTTTCAGTAATAGCTGCCGAAAAAATGCATACCCCAGGCTAACATGGATGGAGGAGTTATTGCTGAAGGAGGGCTCACATTGAGGATCTTTCTAGAAACAGAGGTGGACCCACCCTGATCTAATCCATGACTACACTGGGAATATTTGTGGAGAAAAGAGGCTGGACCCTGTAAAGTCCATTTTTGATCCAGTGTTTGTGCCTGATGAAGGAGTCAGAGATTTACCAATTATGGAAATGTAATTAACCTTTGGTCAATATTTCAGAATGATGGTCGGTGCAGATAAGAGCCCTTGGAGAATGCTCCTGCATGGTGTTACTTCCTCTTTGGATGAAAATAACTTCAAATATCAGTCATGTGCTGAGAACAGAAAAAAAACAGAAATCATCCATCAGGGTCTGTATCTGCTCAATTTACTCACATCACGTCTTAATGCAAAAGTACAACCCCAATTCCAAAAAGAATCAAGTTTTTAAGTCAAATGTTGCCCCTTAAAATGATAGCCTACTGTTATGAAAAACACACTTGCTATGCCAACAACATATTTTCAAGAAAAAGTTATCACAGGGACAGGAAAAACACTACCTGAAAATGTTGTTGAAACACCCTGAGGAACATCTCCACCTAATGAGGTTAATTGTCAACAGGTTAGTAGCATGACTGGGTGTAAAGAGGACATTCAGAGTTTCTCAGAAGGAAAGATGGGAAGAGGTTCACCACTCTGTGAGAGACTGTGTGAGCTGTCATAACCTGGCTCAAAGGCCATGACAAATGTGGGAAGGACACCAGGAATACTTGCAAAAAGGTGGCTGGTTTATTGCAAAATAAGTGAACCAAATAAATAATCAACGGAAAAACATGGTGTGTGTTAATCAGTTTAGTCAGTGGTGTAATGGTGGATGTGTGTGAAGATGAAGTGTAGAGTGGTGTCAAGCGAAACAAACAAACACAGAACATACAAGTGAAGGCTTGGATGAAGGTGGAAGAATAAGAGAAAGTAGGCAGCAACAGGGTTGGGCTTTTAACCCTGCCAGGGCCAGGTGATCCAAATCATTGGCATGAGCAGCACTCAGGTATATCTGCAATAAGAGGGAGGAGACAGGACAAGTTCAGCAGAGCCAAGCTGAACAGAAACTGCAGCAAGGCTGTCACAGTGCTAATAGTTGAACAGTTTCAGAATAATGTTCAAATGTGAAAGAATGAGTGGATTTCATCATCTACAGTTCATAATATCATTAAAAGATTCAGAGGATCTGGATAAATCTCTGTACTAAAGGGAAAAGGACCAAAACCAAGACTGGATGGTCCTGATCTTTAGGCCCTCAGGCTGTACTGCATCAAAAACAGACTCTGGAGTGGAAATCACCGCATGGGCTCTGAATCCCTTTAAAAAACCATTGTCACTGAACACAGTCCGTTACTGCATCCACAAATGAGTTTAAAGGGGCCATGGCATGAAAAACTGACTTTGTTAACGGAAGGGGGGTGCATATCAGGGATAGAAAACCGCTACAATCCCCCCAAGTTCGAAAAAATTCCATCCAGTCATTTTTTAGTTATCTCCGTATTTAGGAACTGTGTGCTCAGAGCCGGCCGTTCTGAAAACTCCACTGACATGACGTCATGTCAGTGCTGGCGGGTTGATGGTACTGCCCATGGAGCCGTCCACTGCCCTGCCCAAAAGATTATCAAAACAGCACCATTATTCCCGGCCGCTCACTCGCATTGCTCCGGTTAGAACCATGGCGAAAGTATGATCTGAAAAAGAGGCAGCGTTTGCTCTGTTGTTGGCTGCACAAACAAGCACAAAACTCTTTTGAAAACTCCCTCGTCTGAGGATTTGAGGACTCAATGGGTGGATTTTATTTATAATGGGAATGTACCCGCGGCACTTCCAACATATCTGTACGTATGTGCACATCATTTCACTTCAGACTGTTTTATCACTGAGGGACAGTTCAACGCTGGATTTGCTAGATGTCTGAAGTTAAAGAATGAATCCGTACCAACTATCCGTGATCCTACTACAAACGTGGCATCTGTAAGTGTGAACGTTTTATTTTGACTTACTGTTTAGCCTAAATTCCCCCCGGTGCCTCAGCACGGCCATCATGCTTTGATAAACACACCGGATCTATGCCGGTTTACCGGATCCTCCCGTATTTTAGCCGTTCGCTTCTTCCCCGACAACTCCGCCGGCTGGGGACAAAATCCCCCTCCGGAGCAGCATGTAGCTTTAGCATTTACCCGTGCGGCGACGCACCTCTTTTGGCTCAAATACGGGACGTCCCAGCGTGACCCTCCTGGCGGCTTTGAATTATACATAGGTCTGAACGCGGTCAACGTTTGGTCTGAACGCGGCTCAGAGTTTCTTTTCCGGAGCCTCTCCCTCTGGGTCAGACTTTGGCTCAAACTGGTAGGATTGTACGAGCGATCTTCTTGCAGCCATGACCGAGCCAGTGTAAACATTAGCACATGGCTATCGGAGCACAGCCACAGCCCCTTCCAGAGAGATGGGTGTAAATTGGACGCGGCTTAGGTGCAGCTCATTTCATTAAAGAGACATGGCTCAAAACGGAGGATTTTGAGCAGAGCTGTTTTTAGGTGATAAAAAGAGCACTAAAATAATTGATCCAAATCGAATTTTGACCTAAGGACGTCACAGACATGCTTTTAACACACCAAGGGACTATTTTAAGTTGTGTGAAATTGGCATGCCATGGGACCTTTAAAACTGAACCATGCAAACAGAACCAAACAGTATCCAGAAACACCTCCTCAGGTATTTAGAAACAAATGTAACCTTCTTTTTGGAAATGATGAATGCTGTATCCTCCATTATACAGAGGAGAGGGACCACTGGGCTTGTTATACAGACAATCTGATGGTACAGCGATGTTGATAAATTTAAGTACAACATTTAACTCTAATCACTAATTAATTTCATGTTCTGTCAACAGTTTGTAATAGTGAAAAAGTCCAACAAACAGCCGTCCCAAGAGTCATTGGCAGGGATTAAAGTATTGGATATATTCAGTGACATTTGAATGGCTTCAGCAGAGTTGAAGTGTGGATATTCATCCAATTGAAAACACACAAGAAAATAAATCAAAAAGTGAGACTAACAGACATTGAAGGACATCCATTCACAAGTGTCTGTGCTTCATATCAAGGTTATTTGTTTCCCATTAAGCCGTCCAACAGAGCAGCGTCTGAGTGGACAGCCTCAGGTGAGGGGAGCTCTGATGGGGAAGGGCATACTGATAATGCAGCTGATTAGACTCTGATCATTATCTACAGTATGGCTTATGATGGTCAAAATCAATGGCAGGAAAGAGGAGATGTGGCCCTGTGAAAGATTAAAAGTCTCACAACAGTAGATTAAGTTTAACTTATCACTCTGTTTTTTCACTTTGACAGGAGCAGTTTAAAAGATATATGGAGAAAAGTCGGACAAAACTTTCTTAAAAAACAGCCAACATTGTTTTGATAGCTCATGAAACTAAAATACTCCCTCATTTCCGCTCCTAACAGTGAATGGATGCAGCCAATTTCACTGCCTCAGTCCTCATCTTTAAACACTTTGATGGCGTGTCAAATGTCGTCCCTCTTCAAAGACTGCTCAGAGAGAGGAAGAAAGACGGAGCAAGGTGGCAAATTGCTGCAGATTAGCCAACATGAAACAAAAGGGCAGATCCTGCATTAGATTATGTGGATGATGATGCTGTATGTTGCTCTTGAAAACTCCTTCAAAAGTCACCTTGAACCTAAAAAATGCTCCGAAGCCATTTTTCTTTTCTTTGATCTCCTTTTTGCAGAGTGGAGGAGAGCACAGCCCGAGCTTTTACTGTAATGTGACTTTGAAAGGAGCTCTAACTGTTTCAAGGCTTTTAAACATCCAGAAAAGTAGCTGAAGTGTGTGTGTGTGTGTGTGTGTGTGTGTGTGTGTGTGTGTGTGTGTGTGTGTGCGTGTGTGTTTGTGTGCGCGTGCGTGCGTGCGTGTGTGCATGTGTGCATGTGAGAGAGAGAGAGCGAGCGAGAGCGAGAGAGAAAGTTTAGGCCTTTGTTATCCTCTCTGGACTTGCATTTACATTATTAACGTCTGGCTTAATAAATGTAAAGTAAAGAATGATCATTAATCAGTACAGCTATGATTTACTTTGCGTATAATTATGGAGATATTACCTCTCTTCATTTCAACAGTATGAAGAGTGTAAGGGCCACTAATTAGGAAGAGACTAACATTTTTGTGTTGCATGATGGAAACAGGTGAAAATGTCAATAACTGCATCTAACTTTCAGTATTATGACAGGTAAGCAAACTAAATCAGAGCATGGCGAATAGTGGATTTCCAGAGTAATGTCAAGAGGGGAGAGGAGAGATCAGACTGAATTATACCTCTACTAACTTGCTTTCATTTGCTCAAAGCATCATGACTCTGTTTTATGCATGTTTCTCATTGATATCAGGGATCATGGTTCCTGATATCAGTAAGAGATGCTCTGAGCTGTTGGGGGTTTAAACACAGGCGCCTCATTCACACACAGTTAGCAGCTGAGTAGAGCAAGGGCCTCAGAGACAGCTGCAAAGGAAGAACGAGGGGGAGAGTGGGAATCATTTCTAGAGACCAGGGGCCTATTCTACAAAGCAAGTTCGACCTAGTGAGGTAGCCTTGGAGCTACCTCACTCAACTTAGTGCGGTAGCCAGCGGTCTCGCTAAATGGTCTTATGACGCTGGTTATCAAACTCGTAAGTGGATCCAGCTTTGCTATGAGCACGTGCACGCATGTAAGGTGGAGCCCGCCGTATCTGACCAATCGCGAACATGGACCAGTCTGGAGCATCAGAGCAGGCCGGAGAGCAAAGGACCGCGTACTTTACAAACGAGGAGCAGGAGACGGTCATGAGAAAGTATGAAGAATTCAAATCTATCATAAACCTCAAAAGCAACACTGTCGCTGCTGCAAAAGCACGCTAGGAATGCTGGCAGAAAATTGCCGACAGTCTCAATGCGGAAGTATAGTGCACAAAAAATCTTTGATGCCATTATCACCCTGAAATAGCACTGTTCAACATGCACTTTTAACATGCACCAGACATGTCTGATTCATTTCCAAGATGAATTCATTCATTTGTTCATTCCTATCGTGTTTATATTTTTTGTGTGATATATAGGCCATATGAACCTTTCATAAAGGTGGTCATCCTGAATAGTAAGTGGGTCCGTGTGGTACCTGAAAACTCTCGCGCGCCAGAGTGCTCCTTGGACAATGCGAGCACCAAGGTCTATAGGATCCTCCAAGAACGGACAAGACATTTTTTTTCGAGAGAGATCATTGGTCAGTGGGCAGGGTTTTTATACTCGGTGAGTTCAATCTGGAACCTAACCTGCCCCAGAGCAGGTTAGCCGTTCAGAGTATGTTGCCATGGAGACTCGCCTCACTAAGAAGTGAACCCGCGTCGCAGAACAGGAAACCCCGAACTTACCCTCGAAGTTACCTCGCCAAGCAGTAATCCTGCTTCGTAGAACAGGCCCCTGATGTTTTTGAACAATAAACGCAGCTGACCTGTAGCCAAAGTTATTCATGACCACTTATTTTCCAGCAAAAGTTCCTCTGGAAAAAAGAGCAGTACTAGTTATTTCTACACCAAACACCATACTGCGCACAACTTTATTATAAAGCACGGTGTGAAGACAAAGGGGGTGTCTCCACAGAACAATCAAATCAGGCTTTTGTTATCGCATGTTTTTCATGCTTGTGATATAAATCAAGCTGAGAGCGAAAACAGCCCCCAGTTCATGATTTTTTAAAAAATATTTTTGGTGGAGACAAAAAATCAGGTCGGATGTGCTGCTCATGGGAGTGGTATGATGGGTAATCTGTTAACATCAATGCTGAAAATCAAGCAGTTCCAACTAAGGCTGCTTGGTCATGATGATGTTTATTTTTTATCTATATTGATATAACAGTTATTGAAAATGCTTATTCATGATTTGACAGTCACATCACATGAGTTAAAGCCAATTAAAATATTTTTACAACTTAGAAAAACACAAAAAGAGGTTAAAAAAAATAAGGTGGCGTAAGATTGGTCAGTCTCAATTATCATATTTTAATGATCTTGGGGCCATTTTTGTTTTTAACATTAAGGTGTGTGATGTCTGTACGTCAAACTGATCTGGTCTGGAACCGGTCCTAGATTTTGCATCCTTGTTAACTGGTGACTCTTAGCTGATGGGCCTGTGCTTATTGTTGTACCTGTCCTTGCAGATGCCTCTGATTGGTTACTTATTGAGGACCTATCTGATGAGTATTTTACTCTTTTTATCAACAGTGACAACTTTGCACACACTGATGCATTGATCCAATCAGTGTGACCCACTTCCGCTAACGTTCAGTGACTAAAGTTTTCTAAAAAACGACCCCAAAGCTAGCAGCAGCAGAAAGAGATGTTTGGTTTTAAATAATCTTTCCACTCTGGAAGTTTAAGTCCTATGAGAATCACATTTCTGCCATACAGTGTTTAATACTGTCAGCTGGCACAGTGTGTCCACTTGTTCCATTTCCCTGTGTAAGCAGTACAGTGGAGGCTAAAGGCTCACAGATCTGCAGCCTGCTGACTCCATAAATTCTGCCGGTAAGATTCTTAGTGGGAGAGTGGAAATGGAAGAAACCAGGGCACGGTTGGTGGCGGGGGAAGATTTATCTGTTTCCAAAATGACAACACAAAGGAGCTGTTGAGTAACTAAGAGTGTGTGAGTGTTAAAATGAACTTGAAGGATCTCTTTGAGGTCAGGTTGGAGTAATTGGAGGGTTATGTCAAACAAAAACAAGGCAATGAGACTCTACTTGCTGAGTGCTAAGGACTCCTGCTGCTCCAGTTCTGGATAAAAGTTAATGTGAACCTCAGCTGCTCTTCTTCCTCTTCCTCCTCCCAGCGGACTGACATCAGTCTTCATCCCAGCGGATGGTGTTCAGGTGGAGCTGCTGTTTGGTGGGAACAGAGAGGAGACTCATTAAAAGAGATCCTCTTGTCCGGAGCAGCCTGATCGCATTCAGCCGTATTATCCACCCAGGTCTGTTTGAAGGCTGTTCTAAGGTCTGTGACTCTGTCATGGTCAACCTCAAGTATCTGCTAATGAGAGAGAGGCAACTCGAAGGTTTCTCATCACAAGGCCTGGAAAAAGTACTTGCAGATATACTTGCAGTACTTTCTGAGACACTGTAGTGCAAAGGGAACCTGGGGAGGGTTTTTCATTTCAGAGATATGAATTCAAGAGTTTAAAGTTGTACAGGACAATGAACTTGACCATCTTTAGGACAGGGGTTTCCAAA